CGGCGACGGGGCCGCTAGGGGCGGCAACGGGGCCGCGTAGGGGCGGCGACGGGGCCACGTAGGGGCGGCGACGGGGCCGCGTAGGGAGGGGAGCGGCTACGGGGCCGCTAGGGGCGGCGACGGGGCCGCGTAGTGGCGGTGACGGGGCCGCTAGGGGCGGCGACGGGGCCGCGTAGGGGCGGCAACGGGGCCGCGTAGGGAGGGAGGCGGCAACGAGGCCGATAGGGGCGGCAACAGGGCCGCTAGGGGCGGCTACGGGACCGCGTAGGGGCGGCAACTGGGCCGCTAGGGGCCGCGAGGGGCCGCGAGGGGCCTGGAAGGGCGGCGACGGGGCCGCTAGGGGCGGCGACGGGGCCGCTAAGGGTGGCGCAAGGGGCCGTGAGAGGGGCCTCTAAGAGAGCTTGACAGAAGGGCGGCCCACAAGGCGCACCTCGGGCAGGAGCGACTGTCGCTCCGGTTAGAAAAAAGGTTTCAGTGGTGGGCCCAAGGAAGCGTTCCCACAAGGGAACCTGCTCTATACCATGTGAAGAAATGAGGAATGAATGAACTAGCAAGCAGGTGGGTACAAGTAGGAAAACCTAAAAGTGTTGTACCCCATATTGTCTACCCCACTACAGCCTATACAGACTATAGCATATGAGTTTGACACGCACATCTTGCCACTTTCCTCCCCCCCCCCCCCCCCCCCCCCCCCCCCCCCCTTCTTTCTTTTGCTCTCTATCTCTTTCTCTCTCGTTCGCATGTACCGTAGGCTTCCATGCCGTATAGGTGTTCCCCACTTCAGGTTCTTCCACACATCAAGAGCTCATGCTCCCCCCCCCCCCCTTTTTTTTTTTTTTTTTCAAGCGAGTCCAACAACTTTGCCTATTAGGCCTTCCCATTCATTCATAAGAGCATTACTTCCTACACCCCTTGCCTTGGGGTAGGCCCGCGGCCTTTCTAACATCCCCTATGGGATAGGCCAGCGGCCTTTGCACTCCCTAGTGCCATCACCTCCATTCAAGCCTCTTGGCACCGCCCCCTAGGGCGTTCACACCACCGGTGCCGGCCCTTGGGCTCCTCCCCCATTTTCCGGGCAAGCATTGGCCATGTGGCCTGGCTGCCCACAACGGAAGCATGAGCCACGAAAGCTCCTTCCATTGCCGTCAAATGGGGGGGCGCGCTTGTTGCCAAATGCCATGGACCCGCGCCCTCCACCACGTGGGGTACGGTTGAAATTGCCTTGGGCGCGCTCCATCGCCGCCACGTCCGCGACGGCTTGCTTGAACGGGCGTGAGGTGAAGACGCTCTTATCTTCATAGAGCTTGAAGCGATTTGCCGTGCGGAAGTTGGTGTAGTCGGCGACGTGGAGTAGCTTGAAGCGGTTGGTGATAAGTGTGAAAGCTTCGCGAAGGTATTTGAGGGCGCTTTCCGGCTCGTTGTGTCGCACCTTGTGCTCTGCATGCTTCAGGTATGCCCGCATGTGTTCCAAGACCTCAGCTTGCTCGCGCACGGCGGCGTTCTTGAACGAGGCGGCGGTTAGAGTGGGATTGGGAGACGGGAGTGGGGGGAGTTGCTCAACGGGTGCAAAAGCGGCATTTAAGGCATGTGCCTCACCATTGTCGTCGTCTTCATTGTCGCCGTAGATGGGGTTGTTCATGACTGGAGCGGGAGCGGCGCGTGTGTCTTCGCCCCTTCCGGTTTTAGTTGTGCGAGCGCGCTTCACGGACTCCGTTTTTGTCAAGATACTAAGCTAGTTGGGCTTAGGAGCCATGGCTAGAGTGGCTTAGGAGCTTAGGTTTTAAGGTTCAAGAGGAATGTCGAGAGAGTTTAGGAAGAGGAAAAGTTGCTTCACTAAGAAAGATGAGTACAAGATATAGCAAGGAGAAGCATGATGCACCACCTACAGAAAATTGGGATGTGCTACACTCTACACTGCAGACAATTATAAAGAACATATATAAATATAGTTCAACATACCCCCTAATTGATTGCAGTGAGAACCATGTACAGAACACCCCCTGAAGTGGTACACCCTGCAGGGCGCAGCAGAAGAAGAGGCGAAGTGAGGAGGAGGAGGAAGAGGGAATGTGAGAGGAGTGGAGATAGGAGGCGACAGGTGAAGCCTCAGTCACACGGGCAACAGGAGCGGCGCGCATAGTGGCTACCAAGCGCACGAGGGCACCGGACTACAGGAGTATCTGGCTCCGCGGTTACAACGAGCGGCAGGAGCAACGGACCCACAGGCGACTGGCGAAGCAGGCTCGCTGGGCTACCGAGAGCTCGAGGGCTCCGGACTACTGGCGCTGCTGACGACACGACGGCGACCTCCACTCTACTTCCCCTAATAGTCCCACACCCCCTTCTCACACACCCCCTTGCTGCACCCCTGTCTCCAATCCCCCTTAGCTCCACTCCCCTCGGCTCCCACACATCCACCCCCCTTCAGCAGCAGCTGCAGCAGTGGGAGACGAAGAAGGAGGAGGAGGAGGGGAAGGGTTGCACCCACACTCATCACCCCCACATCCGCCACCCCCATACCCTCCCCCCACGGCTGCACATGGTCCAGGAACGGCGTCGCGGGCAGCTGCAGGGTCGGTTGCTGAAGGGGCGGCTGCTCTAGGGGCCAGGGGCGGCTGCTGCAGTGGCGGCTGCTCCAGGGGTGGCTGCTCCAGGGGCGGCTGCTCCAGGGGCCAGGGGCGGCTCCTGCAGTGGTGGCTGCTCCAGTGGCCAGGGGTGGCTGCTGCAGGGGCGGCTGCTCCAGGAGCCAGGGGCGGCTGCAGGTGCGGCTGCTCTAGGGGCCAGGGGCGGCTGCTCCAGGGCCCAGGGGCGGCTGCTCCAGGGGCGGCTGCTCCAGGGGCCAAGGGTGGCCGCTCCAGGGGCGGCGTCGCTGGTGCAGGGCAGGCCCGCGCGCTACTGCAAAGCAGGCGCGGGCGCAGGGGAGGCAGAGGCGGCGGCCAAGGGGGGGTGCGCCGCGAGGAGCGGGGACAGCGCCCAGGGGGCGCCGCGATGAGCAGGGGCGGCGCCCCAGGGGCGCCGCGACGAGCAGGGGCGGCGTCCAGGGGGCGCCGCGATGAGCAGGGGCGACGCCGCGCGGGTCCCGCAGGGGCGTCGCGACGAGGCAGCGGGGGTTGCGGGGCGACGCGATGGGCTCCCGGGGGGCGACGCGACCGTTGACGGGGGGAGACGCGCGGGTCCCCGAGGTGGTACGTGAAGCAGGAAGCCGCCACGCGCCTCGGGGCGCACGGCGGGCAGAAAACCGCCACGCGCCCCGAGCGCATGGCAGGAAGAAAAAAGCGTCGCGCGCCACGGGGCGCGCGACAGACACGAAAGCAGCGGAAGCTCGAGGGGCCCACAGGCCAAGAGCGTAAGAGCTCTAATTCCATGTCAAGATACTAAGCTAGTTGGGCTTAGGAGCCATGGCTAGAGTGGCTTAGGAGCTTAGGTTTTAGGGTTCAAGAGGAATGTCGAGAGAGTTTAGGAAGAGGAAAAGTTGCTTCACTAAGAATGATGAGTACAAGATATAACAAGGAGAAGCATGTTGCACGACCTACAGCAAATTGGGATATGCTACACTCTACACTGCAGACAATTATAAAGAACATATATAAATATAGTTCAACAGTTTTTGCCTTTCTGCTTTTAGCAGAAACAGAAGTCGCGTTCGGTGTAGCGACTTCTTACGTAACAGCAGGGGCCTGCTATTGTAACAAGGACAACAGCTACTGTAGTTGGGCTGCAGTGAAGGTTGGCACCACTTGCGCGTCAGGCCCATAATGGTTACCGTCCACACTTTTCCCCCTGATTCCTTGCTGAGAGGCTCCTGTGTGGTGCAGGGCTGTCGATTCAAGGGCATTTGCCCTTAATGCCCTGAACATTCCGGGTTTTGTTTGGCGGAGCTCGACCATTTTAAGGGCTCGATTGGACAATGGACTGGCACCCGTGCCAGTTAAGGGCATCGTTTGGCCCTTTCCCGGACGCGTTAAGTGCTCAATCTGGGCCATCCCCTGAATCTAATTTCTACTTTCGATTCCGCAGACCCCTCCCCCCCCAAATCTTGCGAAACACCCCCCTCCCCACCCCCCCTTTCCATGAAAGTTGCACAATAGGGCGCCAGGTGGAGGATGTTTCACTCGATTTCTATCCAATCTAGTGTGTGTAGTGTCGAAGTCAGCAGATGAGTAGAAATGCAGTAGGCAGTGCAGCTATAGTTGTAGTTGGAAATTGTGACATACAGGTTGACTGGAGTAGTTAGTAATGAGAAGTATGTGATTTTCTTGTCTAGGACGTTGTTTAGGTTGGTTAAGTACACAACACTTTGGAGCCCGGATTTCAAGTTACACTTCGGCCTGCACCCGCGACCGTTAAGGGCAAAAAATTGGTCACCTCGCTGAAAATCAGGGTCAGAATTTCAGCAGCTAAGGGCCTCAAGTTCTGCCCCCAGGGATATCGACAGCCCTGGTGTGGTGTGCAGGTCTGGCCTGTGTTTCCATTCCAAGCCCTCCAAAAACCAGTCAGCCCGCCGTTTCGCCTTCACCTTCCTTTTCTGGATAGTCGAATCACCACCAAATCAGCCTCCCCCAGGCCAGGCCCCTCTGTCGGTCGCTACTGCTGTGAAGTGTACTGGTCTAGGAGTATTTTCGCAGGCGACTTCCTTCCGCCGCTGTATTCCGCCGCTAATCGCTCTGTCCTTTCGCCTGAAGCGTTGTTGTTTGCGGGACCATTCTCGTCCCGAACCGCCTGCGCCTCGAGGGCGACAAGTCTGGGCCAATCCGTCTCGTCTCCTGTTCGCACCTCCGCGGTCCGAGGGCAACGCGTGCCCTTGAACGCATGCCTACAAAATGCATAGCGAATTGGGAATTAGCAGATATGAACTCAAGCAACAAGCTCCAGTCACTTCAATTTGCCCAAGCTTCTTTTTCGTACTCAACCATTCGAGTCTCTCGGTGTTCCCTATACCGCTTGAACCTACGTGAACAGCCATGGCATCGAAGAACATCCTCGTTATAGCCGTCCTCGCAATGCTCCTCGTCAGCCTCGCGGTTGCTGACAATCAGGATTGTAAGCGGGACGGCACGGGTAACCAGGACCGCGACAGGAAGCGCGACGGCTCGTGCGCCAAATCCGGCACGTGCAGCGGCGGCAAGAACGGCGGCAACCCCGGTGGTCGCGGCGGCAATGGCGCTGGGAGGGGGAATCAGGGGAAGAAAGGCACGGGGACTTGCAACAAGAGCGGCAGCGCGAGTTGCGACGGCAGCGGGCGGAAGAACGCGGTGATGGCAAGCTCGAATGCTGCGGTGGCGGCTGCTGACGTGGACGTGCAGGCGTGTGACGGGGCGAAGCAGGCGGGGAAGCTGATGAGCGGATTGCGGAAGAGCGGATTCAACAAGTTCGCGGCGGCGCTGCAGCAGACAGGTGCGCTGTGCGCCACTGCTGGCACTGTCCCTCTCCCTCTCCCTCTCCCTCTCCCTCTTGTCTCACCTGCCATCTCACCTGCCATTTCCATGTGCGCCACCATGCCTCACACCATCCGCGGATTTGGCGGATGTGTTGTGTGCACGCGGAGTGATGCTGCTGACCCTCTCACCTGCCCTCTCACCTGCCATCCCCGTGTGCCCCACCATGCCCTACCCTGGCAGGCCTGGCGGCGGAGTTCCCGGAGGTGATGTGTGCGGGCGGGGTGACGCTGCTGGCCATCCCCGACGCGCCCATGGGGCAGCTGCCCCCTTCAGTGCGAGGGGACCCGGTGATGCTGAGGGAGCAGCTGCTGCTGCACGTCGTCAAGGGCGCCCGCCCCTACTCCCGCATGCAGGCGCGCGGCAAGAACTACAAGGTGAGAAGCAAGCACCACTGGCGTACATTCAACACCAAATTTCAGCACCACTGGCAAGCACCTTTGTTTGTGTGCCGCTCTTTTTCTGACAACAATCCCTCGCCCTGTTCTCTCCCCCGTTGCCCACCTCTCTCCTTTCCAAACCCACTCTCTCCCCAACCTCTCGCCCCTCTCTCCCAAACCCCACTCTCGCGCCCGCAGTTCGCCTGTGCGGCGGGGGCGGGGGCAGGGCGGCTGGTGAAGGCGAGCCAGGGCAGCGCGGCGCTGGTACTGCGAGTGGGCAGGGGGTGGGGGCAGGCAGCAGCCGTGACGCGCCCCGATGCCTTCCGGTGCACGGGGGGGGCGGTGCACGGAGTGAACTGCGCGCTGGGCTTGGGGCGCATGGGCAGGCCGGGCAGGCGCGTGCCTCTGGGGCAGTGCTTGCGCAACGGCAGGGATGAGGATGATGACTAGTTGGGGGGGGGGGGAGTGGGATTAAGTGGGAGACGAGGGGACGAGGCTAGAGTAGTGAGAGTGGAGGGGTCAGGGGGGTATTGGCTGGATAGAGCAAGGAATACTGTTGTGTGCATGAGAGAGTTCGGATCGCATCGCATGACATTTTGTTTTGGAAGGTTGGTGGTGGGTGGAGGCATGTGTGGGGTTGTAGTTCTGCCTGCTCTGAAGGCAGAGGATGTGTTACATAGGGCTTGGAACAGCAAGAAGCGCGGGAGATCATGTTTGCTAGTGCGTGCTTGCTTTTCTAAGCCCTGTGAAACAGAGCTGAGGTTGGGTTGTATTCAGTTCAGTATGTGGATTTTGTGTGCTTTTGTTATCCACTGTAATGTTAGCAAACATCCGATGCTTTGTTTTCCTGTATGCCTTTTCAAAGAGAGACATCTCCAGATTAGAGAAGCATGTAAAAGGTTGTGCAATACAGTGCACGCCTTATAGTACGTTTCGGCTGACAACTCAATTGTTGGGCTGAGAAAAAGCCCTTAGGATCTTTGCAGGACTAAACTCTGGGTAGGAACAATGTAATAGCGGAAGCGTTTTAACAAGAAGTATTGAACCACCTTGCGCTAGTATGTGAGGGCAAAGTAGATTACGGTAATTAAAAGAAGGAGATACAATGTTTTATAAGAGTACAAGGAATATGAAGAGATACAGTTAATAACTATTTTACTGTTGCTCTTGCGGTTCGATATAGTTACGACTCGGGCAACTGCTCTGTATCGAGTCAGTTGTTTGTCCTTGCTGTCGCACTGTATTGTTAAGTCAAAGGTCGCTGACCTTTGACCTTTGCGTTGTTGGAAACAATCGGTCCTAAGCGTTTCTGTCGTGTCGAAACACTAAGGCACAAGCGAAGCGAAGCATATCGAAGCACCGGCGAGTCAACCCTCGGAGGTTGAAGTAACCGCTGGAGGTTACACGAAGGTCAAAGGTCAGCGACCTTTGACTTGACAAGTACAGTGCGACAGCAAGGACACACAACCGACTCGTTACAGAGCAGTTGCCCGAGTCGTCACTGTATCGAACCGCAACAACAGTAAAAGTAGTTACAACCGTATCTCTTCGTATTGTGACAAGACTCTACAAGGAGTCTGCAATGCAGTCGTCATATTATCATCATCAATTTGTACATGGCACACAATATATATATAACTAAATAGCAAGAACAAGCAGTACACACTATCTAAGCGTCTAAGCGTCCTAGGGGTGCGGCGGGCGGGAACTCAAACTGAGATGGATGAAATGAGACTAGGTGGCAGGTCCGTGGACCTGCCGAGGGATAAGAGGGGAATGCCTCCTTATTGCATTCCCCCCTTTTCGAATCTTGTCACAATCATTAAATTTAGAAATATATTTCTAAATTATTCATATTCCTTGTACTCTTATATAATCTTGTATCTCTTTGCTTTAATCAACTTACTTTGCCCTCACATACTAGCGCAAGGTGGTTCAAAATCTCTTTATTAAAACGCTTCCGCTACTACATCACTCTACCCAGAGATTAACCCTACCAAAGATCCTAAGGGGCACTCAGCCCAACATGGTATGAGAGCAGGTTAGGGTTAAGATTCTATTTCCCCTTAAATTACACCAAGAGACATGTCTACCAGAAAGGAGAGGAGCTCCTCCAACGGCTCTCCTGGTACTACTCCTACCCCACCTCCTGCCTCTGGCCTACAGACAGAGGAAGGCACAACACCGAGACCGGCCGCTGGGTCTACTGAATGTCAGATTATATTTAGCTGATGCATGTAATGTAGGCTGCTGTTGGGGTAGACCATAGGGGGTACAACCCAATTAGGGTTGGTACTTGTATCGTTGTTTCATTCCATAGTGCATTTTTCATTCCTTGCCTCTATCTCAACATGGTATCGAGCAGGTTCCCTAGTGGGAACTGTTCCTAGGGCCCACCTACTATTCCGTCCTGCCCGGAGCGCGCTCTGCCCTAGCCCGAGTCGCGCTCGGCCTTTTTTTTCCTTTGGCGGCCCGATCGCGTCGAGCCGCCCTCGATTTTTGGCGCGCCACCTACGCGGCCTCATCGCGCCGCCCCAGACGGCCGCGCCGCGTCGCGCGTGCCGCCCTCCAGTCGCGCGCCGCCCCCCTCTGACCCTCGCGACGCCGGCGCCGTCTCTGACGGCCCCGCGATCGCCTGCGACGGCCCCGCCGTCCCCTCTACCGGCCCCGCCGCTGCACCCGACGGCCCCGCCGTCCCCTCTGCCGGCCCCGCCGCTGCACTTGACGGCCCCGCCGTCCCCTCTGCCGGCCCCGCCGCTGCACCTGACGGCCCCGCCGTCCCCTCTGCCGGCCCCGCTGCTGCTTCAGACGGCCCCACCGCTGCACCTGACGGCCCCGCCGTCCCCTCTGACGGCCCCGCCACTGCACCTACCGGCCCCGCCGCTACCCCTGACGGCCCCGCTGCTGCACCTGCCGGCCCCGCCGCCTCATCTGCAGGCCCCGCCGTCTCACCTGCCGGCCCCGCTGCTGTACCTGCCGGCCCCGCTGCTGTACCTACCGGCCCCGCCCCTGCCCCTGACGGCCCCGCAGCTGCATCTCCCGGCCCCGCCGCCCCAGCAGCTGAGCCGCCCCAGCAGCCGAGCCGCCCCAGCAGCCGAGCCGCCCCAGCAGCCGAGCCGCCCCAGCAGCCGAGCCGCCCCAGCAGCCGAGCCGCCCCTGCAGCCGAGCCGCCCCTGCAGCCGAGCCGCTCGAGCCGCCCGAGCCGCCGAGCCGCCCGAGCCGCCCAGCAGCCGAGCCGCCGAGCCGCCTGAGCCGCCCGACCCACCTGCACCGCCCTGTCTGGTGAGCACTGAGCTTTACTCTCCACACGGCCCTCACCCTACTACTGTCATGACTACCCCCAGTGTCCTCACCTTTGACGCTGAGGGCAGAGCCATCGACTTTGACGTGTGGGTAGACGACCTGCTGCTTTTCCTACAGTGCGACAGAGCTGACGGCCTCTCTCTCTTTGATCTCACTTCTGGTGCCTCTCCCGCCCCTGCTGCTACTGACGATGCCACTGTTCGCTCACAGTGGGCCACACGCGATGCTGCTGCACGTCTTGCTGTGCGTCGCCACCTCCCTCCCTCTGAGCGTGCACACTTTGGGTCATACAAGAGTACACCTCACGCCGTTATTGCACGCTACTCCTCCCCTGCCACTGCTGCACTGAGCCGCCTCATGCTACCGTACCTCTTTCCCGACCTTGCTTCTTTTGCCACAGTCGCCGACCTCATTACCCACCTGCGCACTAGTGACGCTCGCTTCCGCGCTGCGCTTCCTGTTGAGTTCTGCGCCAAGAACCCCCCCCCCATGTACTTCACTCTCTACCACATTGTCACCCGCCTCCCTGACTCCCTTCGCGGAGTCAGGGACGACTTCCTCTCAGTCTGCCCCACCACTCTCACTGTTGACCTCCTCGAGAAGTCCCTCCTAGCAGCCGAGAAGAGCATTCTCGCTGTAGGGGCCTCTCGTGGTGACCCGCGCACCCCTATCTTTGAGGGGTGTTCCCCCTCCCCCCTCCTGCCTTCTGTCGCCTCTGCTGCTACGGCCGACCTAGTTGGTTTTGAGTCGGTCGGTGCGGCGTCTGCCCCTAGTGGGAGACGTCGCTCTGGCAAGGGCAAGGGGGGCAGGGGCGGTGGTGGAGGCGGCGGGGGCGGTGGAGGCGGCGGTGGAGGCAGCGGAGGAGGTGGGGGTGGTAGCGGTAGTGGTGGCGGGAGTGGAGGTGTTAGCGGGGGCAGTGGAGGCGGGGGCGGCGGCGGCGGTGGTGGTGGGAGTGGAGGCGGGGGCGGCGGTGGTGGCGGCGACGGTGGGAGTGGCGGTGGACGCGGAGGTGGTGGCGGCGGCGGCGGCGGCGGCGGCGGAGGCGGCGGCGGAGGTCGTGGCTCGTCGCAGAGGAGTGGCTCCGGTGGTGGTCAGCGCCAGCAGCAGCAGCGTGGTCAGGAGACTCTCTCCCCGCAGCAGCTCCGTGAGTGGTACGCTGCACGTCAGAGGGGTGGGGGTACTGGTCCGTGCACCTACGTCCTGCGCACTGGCGACCGTGCGGGTGAGCCGTGTGGAGGTCCACACTCCACCCAGCGCTGCTTCGGCCGCCTCACGGACGCTTGGCGCCGCCAGTTTCCTGACGCCTCTGAGATCCCTCGCTGGGACCAGATGTCTAGGGCAGGAGTAGCTATCTTTGATCTTGACTTTGATGCTATTCTTCGTGCCATGTATGCTGTGACTATTAGTGAGGAGGGTGACTGTTACCGGTGTTTCCCGCCCGACCCGGGCATTGGTACTGCGGCTCTAGGTGTTGTTGAGGCTGCTACTCCAGGTGCTGGTGAGGCTGTCGCTCTAGGTGCCAGTGAGTCTGTGTCCTCAGGTGCTGGTGAGTCTGCTCTCTCAGGTACTGCGTCGGCTCCGCCCTCTCTCACCTTCACTCTTGACTCAGGAGCGTCTCGCTCCTTCTTTCGAGACCGCACCACACTCACGCCGCTTAGTCGGCCAGTGGCAGTCTCGCTGGCGGACCCCTCTGGGGGTCCTGTTCTGGCTCGCTACTCCACTGTCCTTCCGTGCCCTGCGGTCCCGTCTGGTTCCCTGTCCGGTCTCTACCTCCCCTCGTTCTCTACGAACTTGGTGGCGGGTGCTGACCTCCAGGATGCAGGGGTTGACCAGTTCACCCCTGCGCGCCGACGGGACACCCACTGCACGGACGCGGACACGGGTCGACACTTGACCACGTTCACACGTGGGCCGGGGTCGAGCCTGTACACACTCACTGTTTCGTCTCCTCCTCCTGCGTCTGGTCAGGTAGCTGCGTCGGGTCAGGTGTTTGCTGCAGCGTCCAGGTCTGGTCCTGAGTCTGCCCCCTGCTCGTGTCGCCTCCTGTCCCACGAGACCCTCCTGTGGCACCACCGCATGGGTCACCCCTCCCTGCCTCGTCTCCGGGGCATGGCCTCTCGCCTTCTTGTCTCTGGTCTTCCCCGGTC